ATGATTATAATTAGAATTATATATAAAATAATGTTATCTTTTATACCATAATTTATAATTATTATAAGTATATATAAAATAATGTTATTTTATATCATAGCCATTTTATATTATAATTATAATGTATATAATACTTTATATGATAATTATTATAATATAAAAATAATGTTATTTTATATGATTATTATAAAATAATGTTATTTTATAGAATTATGATAATTATCATATACAATAATATTTTATATAGTTATAATTTATATCATAATTATACTTTTATATGTGATATAATAATTTATATGATGATTATAATTATATGTATATAAAATAATGGTATTATTTTATGCCACACTTACTGTGTCATTTGCATGTGCCGGGGTTTTGCTAGCTAGAAGAGACCCCAGCAAACCTAATCCTTTCATGGGGAGAGGGGAAATCCTGATCTACCACCTCACCCAGCACAGCTGTGACAAAGGTCCAGTCTTGCGCCTAATGCATCATGCTGTTTCAGGAAGGCTACTGGGAGAAGTGGATTTCTTTCTGGTGCAAATTGCAGGAAGGTTGTCATTGTAAGGTTGTCAGGAGCTTCTCGTAACATCTGCAAGTCTGATTTAAGATAATAGGAGCTCCGTGTGTGTAACCACATGCTAGAGGGGAAGGGGAGCGTCCACAGCTTTTGTACATACATCAAGGCCATTTTTCTCTTAGACCATGAGTACGCGATCTGGTAGTTGGGGTGAACACAGATGGGGTTAAAATCCCTGTGGTTTTTGAGAGTATAAACCTGTTATAGGGAATTGGTAAGTTCATCTCTACCACACCAGATACCTGAGTTTCTGGAACGTTGGATCAAATATATACACATGGTCATCAATATGTAAGTCAGCTTCCTCTCAGAGACCCCAGTGTTTCTCCCTAGCTCCTCAGACACCAGCTGTGGAAGGACTGTGGGAGCAATTCTACTAACCACTCCTACATGGACCATCAAGTTCACTGGGTCATTTACCCCAAGGACTGTAGGGATGTTCGTATTCACCCTATGTGCATCACACCAGGGACCTCTGGAGGGGAGGTCACCACAAAGTTTCCTAGAGGAGTTCCAAAGGGGAAGAGCCAGATATTTCAGAAAGAAACATCCAAAATCATACAGGTTTCTATTTTTCTATTATTTATTCATTAAAAGAACAAAGCAAAAGCACAAAATGCCCGAAAACAAATGAAAAGGAAGTAGGTTAACATCAAATCGAATGATCAGGTTGTTCAAATCATATGAAAATCCAGCAATACCTTTTAAGCTTTGCAAAATGTGGGAAGGTAACCATCTTATTTAGCTTCAAATTGAGAATGACTTGACAGTGTATCAAGTAAGTATATTGGCATTGGTACTGTCCTCTTAATTTACTGCCTGGTGATGACTAATATTGAGATGACAGATCAGAAGCTAACTCAGGTAGCCTACACAAATTATTGGTATTTAGATCGATCTCTTTTCCCTTAACATAGGGTTACAATATAATGTTCCATACAGTTCAAGACAACACAGGTGACTGGATCTTCAGAACAAATGTGGATAGAGATGACATGCTTTTTCAAGATTAAACATACAGGCATTCACCCAAGAAATCAATGAGTGTTTTTATGATCATTAGACAGAAAGATTTTTAAAGCTGCAGCTGTGTTAAGAAACGGAGTATTATGCAGGCAGAGACAGTCTCAAGTAGATTTGGTAGGTTCCAGCCCTGCGTTCTCCTGCACACAAAGAACCACATGTGCACTGCTTGTCTCCACTTTGTTTAATGGTCCATTTGCTGGCTAGCCAGGAGTTATTTGTTTGTAGGTGCTGAATTTTAATGCTGCTGAACTCCTACCGCTCAGTAGCCATCCCTCCAGTAAACAGTACTCCACAGCTTCTCAATCCAGCTCATTATTGTGCGCTACTACCGTGATAGAAGGTTTCTACTAGTATGTACCGTAACCTAATCCTTCTTTGGTGCAATGAAAGCTGATTTCCTCATCCTGTCCACAGTGGACAAGAGTAGCAGATAAGTGCCTTCTTTGTAATGACCTAAAGACATATTTAGAGACAGTTATATTATCTATTTATTTTCTCTTTATTAAAAAGTTCCAGTTTCTTCAACTTTTTGTTATAGAGATCATGTTTTCCAACCATCCTATTATTCTTGTTGCTCCCCTTTCGCATCTCCACGATTTATCTCTGCTCTTTTCAAAGTGTGGAACCCAAAACTAGACACAGGACACTCTTGCTGAAAACAGTGGTATCATTACCTTGGTTGTCTAACATTTGACCTGCCTGTTAATGCATCCTAGAATAAGACGGGCATTTTTTGCAATGTCACCATGTTGTGTGTGGTCTATTGTAACTCCCAGGTCCTCTCCTGCAGTACTGTCTAGCCAGGATTTTCCTATCTCATATTGCATGTATATGTTCTCTTCTAAGAGAAGCCACAGCACAGTCCTCCAGCATCCCAGGGTACTTTGCTCCTCCCCCCTCCATTCCCCTGCCAGGAAGACTGTGCTGTTCACTGGACTCTGCTGCTCCAGTCAAGTGGGCAGCAGACTACAACCCCATCACAGTCCTCATGCTGTGTGGCAGGGAAACATAGGCTGACCCTGAGCAATTTGGATCAGCCTACCAGGGCTGCCCTGTGCACTGATACCATCTGTCACCAGGCAGCCTTGGGAGCCTGTAGGGCATGCTGAAATGTGTGCATAAGTGTCCTTTGGTTGCACAGCATCAATACTGCAAGATCTCCGATATAGATATAGATTAGTGGTATTCATTTTAATCTAAAAAAAAGTAGATTTGGGGTTACTTTTTTTAATCCAAAAATTGGGGATTTTTTTTTTTAATCAGAGAAAATCAGGATCCTTGGCAATGAAGAGAATCAAACTGCTTGGTTACCTGCTATCAGTGTACAAGCCGGCAGATGGTGCTAGCTGGTAGCTACATTACATGTGCTCCACGGTGCAGCAAACCATTCACGCCAAAAGCCTGTCTTGGCTGGGCAGATCACCCTAGTATAGGATGACAAAGGCTGCAATTTGAACTGCATTGTTGCACCAGCCAGCCCTCTGACCAAAATTCCCAGCAGTCTAGCACTCGCTGGCGTGCAGTTCTGTAACAACAAACACAGTACCTGCAATAATAAAGAAAGGTAGTAAAAGCCATGTTATTCTCAAGTCAGGGAGCAGGCAGGACAGGGGAGCACTTCAGAGTCTACCTGGTTAGTGTTTCCCTAGTGCAATATACAATGAAGACATCAATCATGTGAGAACAAGCAACACTAAGTTCAGCTACCAGACAAGAGAGGTGCAATAGAAAGCAAAATATCATATAAAAAATAAGCCTCTGGAAGGCACCATAGGCTGTGTCCACATGAGTATGGATGTTTGGTTCCCCAGGGACAAACAGAAGTGGCACAATGTGTCGGGGAACACTGGTGCCACGCATGGTATGGTGCGTGGCACGTTGCCACAAGTGAAGTAGGGGAGGCTGGGGTCACCAATTATGCTGGCCCCAGCAGCCTTTTCTGCATCTGTGACGACCCTGCAGCAAGGAACCTGGCCGGCAGCTAGAGTGTGGCTCTAGTTTTGGGTGGTGTGTGCTGCTGCCACATGCGCTGCCCTGCTTTTTTAGCTGTGGGTTTGCTTGACCCCAGGATTTGACCCCCACTGCAAATTAGCAGCGCAGAAAACACCTGCATGTGTGACGCCGCATACCACTTGTCCGTGCTCATCTGGACACACCCATAGAGTCTAAATGGTTAGAGACTAAGGTAGTGGCTCACAATTTTTTTAGATTCAAAGCACCCCTTATTAGACTCCAGGCACCCCTTGGAAAATGTCAGCTCTTTGCTTTCCCTTGTTTTTTGACCATGGGAAAAGAACAAAGCAATGCTGCTGTTGTAAAGGCTACAGCAGGAGAGACTGTTTTTGCCGTGTAGGATTCCTCTTTGAAATGGATGTTTTTATCTTGTGACTTGTGTGTCGGTGTTTGCAGCCCTTACAGTGCTGATATTTCACGGCACCCTTAAAATGATCTCAAGGCTCCCCGGGGTGCCACAGAGCCTGGCTGAGAATCGCTGCTCTAAGGTGCCACCTTGCTATGTCATCTGCCTGACTTCAGGCTAGCATGGTGAACTACCTCTCTTTAGTCCTGGATGGCACCACACTCAGCCAGATTAAATGGGCTGTGGTTAAACTACATAAGGAGTTAATCTCGAAAGTGTCTTCCTACCCTGTCTTTCCCTTGCAACAGAAGTCATATGAAAGCTCAGGGGATTGGATTACAGTTTTTCTATATAGCATTATTGTGGCAATTCATCATTTGCCATTAGGTACCATAGAAAACACCCATACAGTAGCCTTTAAAAATGAGACTGGAAAGAGGATAAGTGAATGTTGAACATCAATGCATTTAAAACAAAAATGTGAGCATCTAAAGGCTGACAGTCTTTGCAGGGCTTGGATTTTGCTTTTGCATGAATGCCATCTAGTGGGATTTTTGGGTATGTCATGCATTACAGTTAGATTTAACCAGGATAAATGTCCACTTGTGTTGGCATTTGCAGGATTTAAATCAGCCCCAAAATGATGCATTCAACATAAGTTAGTATTAACTTTTTCTTAGGGCCACCATCCAGCCCTAACCTAGACCAGGGTCACCAAACTCAACTCCATTAATATCCTAGGAGCACTAATGAGCTCTGTTCCTAACCATACCCCAGGCTACTACCCAGCACCAGTCCTTATTCCAGCCAAGGCTGTGGTCTGGTTCTAACTCTAATCTTTAGTTTACCAGGCTACCCCAACATTAAGTTAGTGTACCACTGGAGGTGCACTAACTTATATCAAGAAAAAGTTCATGCAATCTGTAAATGGGCTTAACATGATCTAGCAAATGTCTGCAAGCATTACGTGATCTAGCAAATGTCTGAAAGCCTAGCCGCTTCCCCGGCCCCAGGGCTGTGCTGTTCCTATCCCCTACCCCGATCCTGACTGGGCTATTTTTAACCCCACAACGATGCCTCCCCACTGAATGGGCAACCCCCCTCCCATGGACCCATGATCTCCTCCTGCAGACCCGCTACTCACCCCCAAAATCCCACCAGTCCCTCCTTCCACCTCTTGCACTGCCCCTGCTGCTCCTGGCAGCAGCAAATGCCTGCACACACCAATCTTGGTCTAGGTTTAGGTGGCTTAAAGTAAGCTGCCTAAACCTAGACCAGGTACAGTGAACATTTGTGCGTACCCTTTGAAAGCAACAATGGAATCCAAGTCATGTGAAAGATTTTTCCATTTTTAACTGTTGTGATATGAAGTAACAACTCCCCCCCCCCACACACACACACAATTGTAGAAGTATGAAAGTACTTAGCTCTGGGAAGCAAATACGTAAAGGGAACAACTGTATTCATATATTGTGCCTCTGCTGCATTAGCTACACAGGCCCAGAATTGCTGATATAAAGCTCTGTTCAGGTTGTGGCCTCTCCTATGCTCCCTCAGAGCACATGAAAATGCCTTCTGTTACAAGGCACCCTAAATTATCCCAGCCCATCCCAGCTATGTCAAATACAAACTTGGCGCAGCTGAAGATTTTCAGGGGCTTTTTATTTTTAGGCTACCTGGTTCTAATCACATTCCCATCTCATAGTTTCATAGTTTCTAGGGTCGGAAGGGACCTGAGCAGATCATCTAGTCCGACCCCCTGCCATAGCAGGAAGAGCACTGGGGTCAAATGACCCCAGCAAGGTGGTCATCCAACCTCCTCTTAAAAACCCCCAGGGTGGGAGCCTGCACCACCTCACTTGGAAGCTGGTTCCAGACCCTAGCCGCCCTGACCATGAAGTAGCGCCTCCTGATGTCCAACTTAAACCTTCCCTCCGCCAGCTTGTGACCGTTGTTCCTGGTCACTCCTTGCGGCGCTCGGGGGAACAGGGACTCCCCCAGCGCCTGCTGATCCCCCCTAACCAGTTTATAACAGGCCACAAGATCCCCCCTCAGCCTTCTCTTTTGAAGGCTGAACAGGTTCAGG